ACCGGGTGAATTTCTACTTCGAAAGTGGCTTTTTCAGGTGACAAGTCTTTAGCGGCATCATTGTTTCATTGTTCACTTTGTTCCAACTGAAATGTCCTGGACCGTGATAACGCCAAAGCCTGTTGGTATGCACCACCTTTGGCTAACCTCGCCGACCACATTTTATCCAGAAAGTCATGTCTGAGAGATGATCCACTATGTCATATTGGCCTTCCCATGGAGATGACAACTTAGGAGACTTCCCTTTGGTCTTCCTGGGAATATACAACCACACCTTGTCTCCTGGCACAAAGCTGACTTCAGTAGATCCCTTACTATAACATAGCTTCATGGAATCAGCAAACATTTTCAAGTTTGAACGTACTTGATGGTGAATATCATCCATCCTTTCCGATAACACTTTCACAAACTCTGACACATTTTCAGGCAACTCTTCATAAGGTAGGCATTCTTATCAACTTTGCTGGAGTGTATCCAGTGGCTTCCTGCTCTACTGTTCTACAGGCCATCAACAGTGGATGGAGTAAGACATCCCAGTCATCTTGGTGGCTATCACAAAACTTTGCCTATTCCTGTCTCAGTGTCCAGTTGTACCATCCTACCAGACTGTGGGTGAAGTGGCCTTGTTCTGGTCTTTCGTATGCCAAACAACTTGCAGCATTCATGGAACACAGCTGATTCAAAGTTATGGCCTTGATCTGAATGCAGTTCATATGGCATACCAAATCCGAAGAAGAAATCACTAATAGCCGCAGGTACAGTTGTAGATTCCTGATTTGGTATTGCATATGCCTCAGGCCACTTGGTGAAATAATCCATCCCCACACAAATGTACCTGTTTCCTGCACGAGTTTGAGGCAAAGGACCAACAATGTTAATGGCTACTCTTTCCATTGGTGCACCAACTTGATATAACTTCATTGGAGCACGTCCCTTATGCTTGAGTCCCCTTTTAGCCCAACATGTACTACACGTCCTACATCATTCTTCCACATCTTGCCACATACCTATCCAGTAAAATCTCTGTCGTAGGTGACTCAATGTCTTCTTAACTCCGAGATCTCCTCCTGTTAAACTATGATGGGATTGACACAGCACAACTTCCCGAAACTTTCTCGGTATAACCGTTTGCCAAGTCATCACTTTCATATCTCCGGAGAAAAATACCATCTTCACGCTTCAATTGGTCCCATTGTGCCCAATAGCTCTTTGTCACAGAGCTTAAGCTAGACACCTTCTCCCAAGCAGGGCACAAAACACTTGCTTTTACAAAATCAATTATTGGCATCAAAATCTTGGTCTTTCTCCTGTTCTGCTTTAATATCTATATTTGGTTCCACTTCACCATCATTAACTCTTTCAGTCACTTTAACTTCAGCTTGATGGCACCTGGTTAGTTCAACCTCCCTTTTGCAGCAATGTCTGTAGTCATTTTTGCAGGGTCTTCGGCTCAGTCCATCGGCATTTCCATGAGATTTTCCTTCTCTGTATTCAATATCATAATTATACTGGTCTATCCTTCTGATCCAACGTG